ATTCAATAGCTAATTGAAGGAAACAAATCAAAAGTCAGGGATATATTAGTCGCTTAATGTCTCACTATGTAAAATTACAAGGAATTAAAGGGTTATATTAGTACAAGTGATATTAAAATACCTAAGTTAGCTAAATAATATTTATGAGAAAGTCCAAACCTAGATTATTAATTATTAATATATCAATATTATTTGTCCAAACCTAATTACGAAGCTTGGTTCTTCGCCAAGTAGGATTTCGAAGCATCAGAAGCAGCCATGTAAGCTCAGCGCATTCGGAAATTATATATAGGAAGGATTGTGTATTTATTATTTTAAGAATATGAAAAAATTATTTTTCTTGATTTTATATCACCAAGATGAAAAATACACTATTTCAGTATTTTTATGGGTTAACAACATGGTTATGAGTGGGCTGTAAACGAGTAGAGCCGAGCTCGAGCCATTAACGAGTCTGAAATTGAATTGGAGTTCGACTCATTTATCACTAATAAAAAAGCTCAGGTTTGGCTCGCTTATCACTAATAACAAGCCGAGTTTGAGCCTAATGAGCCGATCTCGAGTTTTTAACGAGTCGAACTATGAAAAATAGTATAAAAATTAACATTCCGAGCCTTATCGAGCTGAGTCGAGCTCGACTCGTTAACCAAACGAGCTTTAAATGAGTTCGAGCTAGGCTAGTTTATCAAACGAACCGAGTCGAGCCAGACTCGTTTAATTTAACATCACTAGATCTGACTCAGCAATTTTCGGCCAGGTCAACCTAACCCGACAACCGGACTCAAGCCGCTGCAAAAAGTCGAGTCGAGTCGAGTCGAGTTGAGTAATGCTCGCTGACTGAGCTCCATTTGTTTTATTGGTGCTCGAGATCACGATCACCAAGTCAAGCGCGTTATGTCTCAATTCGACTCGATAATATTATATAAATGCTCGAAAGTGGCTTGGGGTTGGCTGAAACTTTATAGGTTGAGATCTACATAAATTTAAGGAGAGTTCTACTCTGATTTAAGGCCGAAATTTACTCGAGTCAGGTATATTTAAATAACTACATACATTTTTCAATGACTCGTTGTACAATCAATCTTAAATATACGAGCTCTCGTTTGCAGTCGGATTTACTAGGTATTGATAATTGACAAACACCCATTTTGGCAAAATTGGGACCCATTGACAACGTTCCCCACTCCATAGCCCGGCAACAAATTTCAAAACTTCCCCTAAAAAGCACCACTCCACAAGAAAAAAAAAAATAAAAGTTGCCTCCCGTTACCTTTTAACCATTAACTTTTCCCAATTTATTACAACAAATTTTCAACACAATCTAAAACAATTCAAACATTTTTTTCCTCATCAAACAGTCCCGAAAAAAAAAAAAAAACACATAAAAAATGCGATCTTGCATTAGCAAATGCAAGCCCAAGAAAAAATCCATTGAAGTTCTTAGCCCCGTCCAAGACAAGCTCATCATCTCACAACACGTTCCCCCGAAAATGACTACGATGCCCTTCGAAAACCCGAAGCCCCTCCCTTCACATTCTTGCTCGACCGATGCCAGCAAGTTCACGGCCACATCATCGTCCATGTCACCGTCATCTGCTTCGTCGTCCGCACTCATCGCTAAAGACCGGTCCTTCTCCAACGAGCTTCTTTGGTCGTGCGTGAAGGAAAATCACCACGTAATCGACCTCAAGAAAAATATCTCGGCCGACAAAAGGGACCAAAAGTCAACTTCGATGAAAACGAAGCAGCCGAGTCAAGAGAAGGCAGCAGCGAGTAGTGTCCCGATGCCTAAAAAGCGGGCCCGCTCGAACTCGCCAACTCTCGTCCGACAAAAGAGCTTTCGGAAAGAGCAGAGTTTGAGTTCCATGCCAAACAGGGCCTTGAGGTCGCCATCACCGAGTAGAAGATTCAGTACGGGCGAAAATGGTGGATATATATCGGCAAATGGGGTTTACGAAAATGGTTTGCATGGGCGCCAGGCTGGCACGAGGAGGGAAAGCTTTCGGGCTTCGGCTGCAAGGCTAAACCGTGAGTTAGCAGTCGGGCCGAATTTTTCGCTGGCGAAAAAGGGTATGTTTGTTTCTCGAAGGGCTAGCGCGAAGATTGATGATTTCGAGATGGATGTTGTGATGGAGGATATTAACAACAATCCACATAATATTGCCTTGGATTGTTTCATTTTTCTCTGATTTTTTTTTAGGTGTGGTGTGATGAGTTTGTTTATAGATTTTCTTTATTCATATAGTTGTTGGGTGTTTTTTTTTTTTTT